CACATGACTGTTGTTGTAAAATCTGTTCATTTTATTGAAAAGTTATCCCTAAATGTCAAGGAACACACTTGAGAATCTAAAGACCAAACAACTATGAGAGATTAAAACATCAGAGAACACACAAGCTAACGTCTTAAGGCGATCTAAAGCAAGTCTCCATTTGTTTCCATTAAAACAGAGCATAAAAAAAAATCCTAACCAAAACATGTCATTCCCCAAGAACAATTGAAGCATTTAGTCAATGACAAGAATAAATCAATCACATCATAAAAGAAGTGTAAACCCCAAAATTCAAGCCATAGTCTATGAATCCTTCATGTTTAATCATCACAACATGGAGGAAACAAAAGGACAAGAACAGAGAGCCTAGTCAAATGAAACTGTTTCATATTTATAAAGTCCACAAGACTGTGCAGAGAAACACCACAAGAAAACCTTATCCAGTTCTATTTGAATCCATAAGCAATTAGAAAGACCCAGTTTGGAACCCTAGCATTTCAATCACTCTGAAACACCACAATCTAAAACCCTAACACATAAAAGAGAAATCCCACAACAAATTGAAGAAACTCCAAAAAAATCAAAACCAAAATTGAGCTTTTGTTTCAAAGCCATAAAGCATTAGAGAGAGGGAGAAATGATATTGTATACTTGAAGGTCGTGTTCTTTGATGTATGCCCAAATGCGCTTGAGAGCTTGTGTCCGAGGAATCACTGATTCGCCGACAACATCCTGCATCTCAGGGGACACTGGTCGAGGCTTCATGATGCCACGTGGCTCCCGAGGCTTGGTGGTTGTAGGCTCAGAGGACGCCGCCGTAGCTGACGTCACCGCTCGGAGCATCCGCAGGTTAGCCGGACGAGGAGAAAGACGGAGAGACGGCGAGCTCCGAAACGGCGCCGTTTCGACGCAGAGAAAGGCAGAGAAGATTCCAGAAGAAAGAGCCATTGTCGCCGCTTTGCCTGTGTGGTGGATTTTGGAAGACGAAAGGTTTTGTGTTATCCTTTTTCTTCCTCTTCTCTAGTAGTCAAGTTCTACAGAAACTAACAAGGGCATTTTCGTCCTAAACTATTTTTTTTACATTTTTAATAAATTAATTTTTAAATGATGTTTAGTTGAACAAGACCATGCTGTCTTGTCTTACTGATTAGTGTCGGTAAGTGTCGTCTAAAATCTAAACCGTATAATAAATATGGTACTTAATTGCATTGATCGTATTGTATTAGTCTAATAGTACAAATTTACAAGCCCCTATACAAAAATCATTACAGTTTACAAGCAAAGTTAACAATAGTTAACTGGTTTTTCTTCTTGTAAAGGAACCAATAAAAGTCTTCTGTTTTTGTTGTTTAGCCTCCCATGCTATTTGAAGGATAACAACGAAGACCATAAGATTGTTCTTCTATTGAATCTCTTGATGCTAACAAATTCACCTGCAAAAACATTTTTACCATAACCGAGTTTTTACTTGAGAATTGGGAACTTTCTTCAACACAAAAACTAGTCGTCGTTGCAAAATGTTACCTTAACTATTTCAGACACTGAGCTCGGTCGAGTGTACGCAGCCAAAACACTCATGTTAAAATCCTGCAAGAGATAAACCATATACACAAGTTTTGAAATGTAACAAAACAGTCTTATAAATGGGAAATTCAATCGGTAAACTTCTATTTTACGGATTCAAAAAACGCTTCAACTCACCCTGAAGGGGTCACCGCGTAGAGACTGGACAAACATCATGGAGAAGTCTGAGTCGTTTCCCTGCCAGCCAAACCAAATTACATAGTAAGGTCGTATGTGATTTACACGTAGCAGCTCACGTTCATAGCGGTATACATTATACGATTATTTCCTTGCGTTTATGTTTCCATGTTATAATGTTTAGAAGAAACAATCGGGGTCTATAAATATATTACCTCTAAAGATACATCCCTGAGGCGTCTTCCCGTTTGAGCACAACAAACACGGATCACATTCTCATCGCAGCTTCCACTGACGATGTAGTCATTACCATTCATGTAATATGATCGAGTATAGTTCATGGAGCTTCCTGTTGGGACTATCTCAAAATTCAGATGAAGCCTTCCATCAACTGTCAAAAGCTGCTTTACCTGAGAAAATGCTCAATGCATCACTACAAATCAGTAGAAAACCACCAAATATATCGAAAAACTGAATGTGATGTTTTATCTTTCTTTCTTTCTTTCATATGCAAAAAGCTTCATAAGTAGAACTAAATGGTCCATGAGAGTACCTCGTTGTCCACGGCTGATGTTAGAAGATACCGATCATCTGGAGAAAAGCAAACCATCACGTTTCCTTTTGTACTAGAAGCGGTGTAGCATGGTCGGGACGGCTCTTGTCTCAAATCCCATAGCTTAACATCTTTATCAAAGGAAGAAGTCGCAAAAAGAAACGGAGAATGGTTTGCAAATTTCACCACATTAATGTGCTCTTGATGCATATCAGCGAAAACCTGGAGGCGTTTTCCGCTACCAATGTCATACAAAGCCACATCCTTTGAGTATCCACTAGCAAGAAATAGTTTGTCCATCGAATTAACATGAACCGAAGTTAATTGGTCAAACTCATCATAAGTAACAGAACCGGAAGCAGCGTGACTGCTAGTAGTAACCGTCTTCGATGCTTTTTGGATGTCGTACAGCTTCAATGAGCCATTGGCTGAGCCAGCTATAACCTGAAAAATAAAACCTATGAAATGAGGTAACAATTAACATAACCGAAAGAAACAGGGACAGCTGAAGAAAATCAAACCTACCATAGATGGATACATCTTGAGCCAACAAAGTCCCAAGATACTACTCTGAGCTCCATGAGATGGGATGTAACGGACAATTTTCCCGCTTTCATGATTAAGAACAACCACCTCACCATCCAAAGTCCCGAATACCATTAGGCTAGGATCCAACGGATGGTATTCAAACTGCCTTGGACTTAATCTCCTATTTTCATCTTCCCGGTGAATCCTACTAAAAGGAAGCGAATGCAAGAGAGGCCAAGAGGACGATCCCATCCTAGACGCACAAAGTGACCTTGTATAGAAATTCTGAGATCTCCCTTTGCTTGATCTCGTTTCACGCTTCTCAAGGACTCTAACTACACTTTCCTTCTTCTTTCTCTTGTACGGTAAGTGCTCAAAGTTTGTGGAATATGTTTCAATGGCCCTGTCTCTATCACTCTTTCTGATAGCCAAATCGTCCAACACTTTTAATTTGGGTAGAGAGTTTATCATGTACATCCTGTAATGCTTTTTGAAACATATAGGTGATGCTTTAGAGGATATATATTTCAACCCAACATTCCCAAATTGTCTGGTGAATGAACCAACAGGTGAAACATCGTCGGATTGGTACGGTATCTTAGCTTTCCTAACCTGCCAAAATGGTATAAAGAAGCTTTAACCATCACACTGTTTTGTCTCATCAGTTGACTTGCAAACAAGAGAAAATGGAATGTTATGTGTTTTTTTACCTTTTTTCTCATGAATACTTCTCCATTCAGTTCTTGCTCAGGAATTTCATATGAGAAATCCATGCTATGAAGAGTCTCTTCAACAGGTAAATCAGGATCCATATGTTCGAAAACGTCCGAAAAACCTGCTCCAATGGGAGAGTTTGATTCATTAAATCTGTTTTCATCATCTCGGGTAGAAGATGACGACGATGACTGTGATTTAAGTGGACTAGAATCACTGCAACAGATCCAAATTTGGAACCGGAGCTCCTTAAGAGAGGGGAGTTTCAAGAGAGCAGCAGTTGTTGTCCAAAGATCCGACACTAGCGTATCACACATGGAAAGATGTGTCAATTGGGGCATGCAAGAAAAACAGCCTTCTCCAAAACCAAGTAAACGGTTTTTATCAAGTATAAGCGTGTGCAGCTGTGCGAACTCTCCAACGATGTTAAGCTTATGGAAATGCAAAGACCTCACGTTCAACACTTTGCAGCTCAAACCTTGAATAAAGTCCCTGAAATAGAAAAAAAGCCAACCACC